CATTATCTCATTAAAACACTTTCTGGGATATTACAGAAATACAAGGGAACAAATGTTTGTCAGTTTTGGTTAGAATAAAAGATCATCAGTGAGCCACATTGTTTCTGTGGAAATAAAAAACAAGTGATTCTAGAGCAAGAATTAGCATAGCCTTGCTTGTTAGAACTCAAAGAGAATTTGAAAATTTTCAGTGTAGGTAAAATAAATGTGCAGGAGATTCTAGGGAGAATTCCTAGTAGGGAGAACAATTGGTAATTGAGAGAGAGGTGGAGTAGAGTAAAGCAAGCTGGCTGAATGAAGACTTAGACTGTCAGTGACACAGATCAGAGAAACAGATTAAAACCGTGGTGGAATCAGAATGTGAAATTTTGTTACGACAAACTTTATTTTATAGATTAATGGAAAGTGGAGTGGTCAGAGTGCCGGAGGATGTGGAAATTTTCAGGAGACTCACAAAAATAATCCCATCTACCAATTCCATATAGATAAGACTGGACCGTTACTGATTGAACTGAGAGGACCAAGGTTTGTGATGAGTAGCTGCCTTTTTTACTTTCTGTGCTGCACATTGAATTTAGGGCCTTGTTCATGGATGCTAGGCAACCACTCTACCACTGAGCTATGCCCTTATTAACTTAAAATCCTTAGTTTTAAGTTAATGAGGATATATTAAAACTGACCTTAAGGGAACAAAGTTTGGAAACAAATCTGTGCAAACATAGGCAAAGGATTTATGATAATTATGGCATTATAGAGGAGAGGTCAGCCTTCAGTAACTGCTATGGAATTCAGTATCCATGTGTAATAGTAATTTGACCTATCTCACACCAGGCCTAAAAATCAGTTCTAGATTACAGACTAAGTGTTAAAAGTAAACAATAACTTCTAGAACATGATGCAGGTGAATATCTAGTATGAAATGCAGTTCAACATTTTTTTCTGTGATGAGTGAGTCTTGGAATGCCTGCGAGCTGTATACTAACTATTCTTTGAATTTAGATTTTTATTTCAGGGCTTTCGTCTCTTCTGTAGGGTTTTCTGTCAATTACAATGACAATCTTTCATTTAGAAATTTATGTTAAATGATGTCTTATCTTTTGTGTTATTCCCTGGGGAGCCTGTAGTTTAAAAAAAAATTTTTTTAGCCTGGAGTGATGGCACAGTGCCTTTAATTCCAGCACTCAGGTAGCAGAGGCAGAGAGATCTCTGAGTTTGAGGCCAGCTTGATCTACATAGTGAGTTCTGGGACAATCAGGGGTACTTACTGAGACCCTGTCTCAAAAAGCAAAAAGTCCATTTTAAGGCAAGCTTAATGCATTATTAGCCTTTATGGATTCAATTTCAAAACTAGATAGAAATAGTTTCAGAATACTGCTTCCTTTTGGTAAAAATTTAAGCATATATACATATACATGCTTTAATAGTTCACCTACACTTTACAATGTATCTTTGAAACTGTTTACTAATATAGCAATGCTGTTTGATTTTAATACTAGGCAATACAGTGTTGGATTTGAGGTTGTAGCAGTTTCCATAATGGGAGATCCTGGTCCTCATGGCTTTCAGAGGAAATCTAGTGGTGACTATAGGTAATGTTGGCATTTTGTTTGTGTTTAGTGTATACTTTATGTGACATGATGTTCTATAAACCTTCTCATTTTCCCTGAATATAGGTGCGGATTTTGCTACTTAGAATTGGAAAATATACCTGCTGGGATCTTTAATATCATCCCTAGTACTTTTTTGCCTAAACAAGAAGGACCTTTTTTCTTGGACTTTAATAGTACTGTCCCCATCAAGACAACACAACTCCAATGATAGAGAACTCTCAGCTGTTACTGGATTCCATATTTAGCAGTCATCAATTCTTCAGACAGAGACAAATCATGATGGTGAACCATCAGAATGGAATTAAATCAAAAACATGTTACAGTGGAATCTGGTACTTGTCATGGTGTTTGGTAAGAATTGTACATAGTCAGAATTACCTTATCACCTAAAAGTACTGTTTACATGGTTTTGTGCATACAGAGTTGGCATGTATTTAGGGGCTAACTTTGTATAAAAAATTATATATGATTACAGATTAGATTCAGCTATCACTGTGAGATGCTTTTGCTAACAGGACAAGGGAACTGAAACAAGATGAGGACAAGGAGGGCCACAGATCCACTGAATGCAAGAGCAGACTATTTTACTATCTTGAGATATTTACATTATGTTTCCTGTTTTTACAGAGCACGTAAGTTTACCCTGTTCATGTTGAACCCGACCATACATCTTAGGCAACTGATTACCAAATGAATCATGTCATTATAACTAATTTGAATTTTCTATTGTGTCTTTAAATGTTTATTGTTGCCTAGATGTTATGAAATCATAAAGCTTTAAAAAGTACCATTTAGCTTAGCATGAAGATGCTCAGGCTTAAGAATGAAGGTTGTCAGTGTTAGATATGTCATTCATTGTAGAGAGGACTGAGGTATATTTACTGTTGCTGTTTTTTAATTCTTAGCAGGTTGGTGAATGTAGTACTCTGAGACTGGAAATGTTAAAAGTTTAGCGTGTAGAGTTTTTAAATTGCTCTGTACTTGGTGCTTTCATAATAGGGATTTGGAGAGTCCTTGAGAATTTAGTATGTGGTGATCGAGTTATACAGCATTCATAAAAAGTGAGTTGCCAGGAATTAGTGTCGTGTAAATTCCCATTTGTTTACATAGCAATCATCAGGACAGAATGATGCTCAAGATTTTAAAGTTCTGAAAAATAGGATGGGATCTGTCATTGTCTCTACTTTATAATTATCAAAACGATTTCTACTGCCTTTAATTGAAATAAAATATTTATACTTATGGAAACTGTATATAATTTAACCTTCAGAACTTGGTTTGAGTTAATCTACTGTTCCTTGTAAAAGACAGATGTACATGAATATACATGCTTCAAAGATACCTTAATTCAGTAGTTGGAAGGTTTTTATCAAAGAGATTTCACTTGGCAAAATTCTTAGGACTTTTGATTTAGCCATGGCATAAACTTGAAATATAAGGATAAGGATTAATTTTTGCACTCGAAAACCTAATAGAAGGCTGAGAGGTAGCTCAGTAGCACAGCACTTGGCTTAGCATGTCCAAGGCCCCGGATTCGATCCCCAGCAGCACGAAAACAAAACTCAGTAGAGAAGACCTATATGTAAATAGTGTTGAATCCTGTAATCAAGCTCATTCATGGAGATTCTGCAAGTGTACAGATAAGGCTGGATCAGTGATGCGTGCGCGCGCGCGCGCGCGCGCGCACACACACACACACTTCAAGAACTGCAATTTGAACTTGAGGTTTAAAATACAGAATAGGAAAATAGCCAGGAGTTATTTTTTACTATGAACTTAGCCATCATGCACACTCTTTTTAACCTTCCCAGTGGTTAAGTCAAGTATAGGCACTAGTCTTTTTACAACCAGGGAAATAAGCCTGAAAAATCTTGTTTTACAAGCCTGCAGCCCAGCTGCTTTCTGTGTGGGGACAGCAGGCTGGGATTGGTGGTTGGAATTGACAGTTGGATCTGTGTTGTAGGAAGGTGACTTCATTGAACCAGAAGCACAAGAGTGGAACAGATACTTTAAAAAGGGAAAAATTAGAAACTGCTAGAGAGAGGAGGGAGTGGCTCAGGTATCTAGTTTCAGTACACACATAGATGCTCGGACTCAAAGAAGAAACTTTCCCCCCTTGACACAGTAAAGAAAACTATCCAAGCCAGGTGGTGGTGGCTCACGCCTTTAATCCCAGCACTCGGGAGGCAGAGCCAGGCGGATCTCTGTGAGTTCGAGGCCAGCCTGGACTACCAAGTGAGTTCCAGGAAAGACGCAAAGCTACACAGAGAAACCCTGTCTTGGGGGGGGGGGGGGGGAGAGCTAAAGAGGGCCAAGAACTGAAATTGAGGTTAGTAGCTAAATTTCAGAAACGGTAACTTCAAAGACTAACGGTGGGGGGAGGGGGACAAAGGGGCAGGGTGGGAGAGAGTCAGTCTAAGAAGGGTGAGTGTCAGCGCTGCAGAGAAAGGAAGGCTGTGATGAGGGGCAGCACTGCTTTAACTAGGAGGCGTGAAAGGGAAGACTAGGAGAGGAAGTGATGGCGTGAAACAGGAGCCGGAGCAGAGCCCGTGCATTCCCTTCCTGATGTAGGAGACAAGCAGAGGGCAGGCTGATGGGACAGGGAACTGAGGCAAGAAGCCAGATTATGAAGTCCCAGTGCCCAAGTAAGGGATTTAATGCTATGTTTCCCAACACAAGAAAACCCGTCTTCTATTCTCTGTGATAAATGCTCACGAGATTTTACTGTGTGACTCCCACTTAAAAGGCACATGTAAGGAACAGTGTTCAGGGTGACAGATACTTGAGCCAGAAATCCCCTGTGGTGGATCCTGAACATTAGATTACACAACTTTACCTCAGAAATATTGATAAGAAGGGAAAATGAGCAGTGTCTCAACTGCAGGGAAGAGAGCTGAAAGGGACCTCCAGCAACTGAGAATATTAACAGGCAAAGCTAACTGGACACTTCACCCCACAACACATTGCAGTATGTAGCAGATACATTAAAATCCAATATTCTCAGATTTCTATTAGAAAAAGCACTGTAGAGCCAGCCACCTGGGGAAGCTTTTAAAAGGGCCCAAGTGTACCACAAATTAAAATCAGACTGAGTCAGATGAAACCATATGGCAAGATGTTAGCCACCTACCCCCAGGAGACTACACTGACCAGTGAAGTGGAGAACCTCTCTTCTTGGGGCTGTGTCGCATGTGGCTGCTTGCCTCTGTCTCTCGTCAGTTGTAACACCAAAAGTGGAATTCTAATCCAGACCTTGGGATTTGAACTTCAGTTACCAGGGTTCCCCACCTTCCCTGAGAATGAGAGCAGACGCCCACGCATTCCATGGTCCCCCTCAACAGAGCAAGGGGACTTCTGAGCAGGAGACAGATAACAGCAGGCTTTCTCATCTGAAGTCACAAAGTCTTAGTTTTTATTACCCTCAAGGTAGTAAAACAAGTACAAAATAACCTTGTAATTAGGATACTGGATCCATCAATAAAAAAGGAGAAACCACTGTTGTATGAAGCTATACACACGTGGCTAAATTTTACAAGCTGTGACAGAATTAAAAGACAATTTGAAATGGGGGGGGGGGGTTGCTTTTTTCTTCAGAAAAGCCAAATCAATAAAACAGGACAAATAAAATACAGTGCTCTAAATATGCATAACCATAAACACTAACTAAGCGTCTAAACACACTACTATTAGCATAACATCCATTGCTTCTATTTACCAGCCTCTGTCAGCACATGCCCACTCCCTTTCCTAGCTTTAAGGACAGTTTCCTCTAAGGAATACTAGATGAAGCATAAACCTTAAATAATCGCAATTATTGTAGAAGTTACAACCTACAGAGCAATGAACTTCTTGTCAGTCTAGTAGAAGAGTGGTAGCCACTCTTCACGTGCACTTCTCTCAGAATAAACCCCCCTTGGCTGGCAGGCCAGGTTAGGCTATAGAGCCCCCCCAACCACAGATGCCCTACGCTATGTCCCTGCTACCTCACTCCCCACCCCACCCCCAAAAGTGCAGTTCATGGTAGCTTTCCTAGGAAATGGTTTGAATGGGTGTCCAGAAGACATGCTTTTAAAAAATCCCCCTCTGAGCACCAGAGGTGATGAAAATGAATTGTGTTCTTGGGATTGCTTGTAAGCTTTCACTGGGTCAGAACAATGTGTTCTGAACACTTGAGTTTTTGTTTGTGTGAGTTTTAAAATTATTTTGGTGCCCTGTGATAATAATGGAGAGAACATCTCAGTTTCCCCAAATAGAGGGGGGAGAGGGGATAGAGATGTAGGCTGGTGACCCCAGTCTGGCTAAGTGTCCAGTCCTCCTCCTGGTTCAGGTTCTTTCACAGAAACTAGTTATTGCTTCCACACTGCTGCTACAGGGAATGTTCTGCAAAGGCTGTGACCCTGGTCACAGTTTACCTGCAATGGCTCTGCTCTGAAACACACCAGCCCAAGAGCTCTTACCAAAGGGAAATTCTTCAGCCCTCAAGGTCACTGAGACTTGGTTAGTGCAGTTTAGAGTAAATGCATACTGTCTGGCTTGTGTTAAATGAGTATTGGCACGATGTTTCTTGAGTTTCATGTATACATGTGAATTGCACATGGGCCACGGCCCTGAGTGGATCAGCCAATCTGCACCATTTTTATGTCAGCAATAATCCCATCTCTTCCTTTGGAGCACTGTAGGGAGAGTTGCTTCATACGGGTTTCCAAGGCCTGGCCCTCAAGGGACGTGCTGCTTTGGCTCCTGCCCCTGCCACCACCGCTGTTGCCGATGACACGATTGTTGTTGGCTTTGTCACTCATTTTATTCTCAGCCCCTTCTGCTCTGTCTCCTGCAGAGATACAAAGGTTGCCAAATGGGAGCCGACAGTTCCAGGAGTTCCATAGGCACTGACTAGCCCTCTGCAGTTCCCACTGCCGCCCACCATGCATCTCGGGTTCTCCAGCACTGGAGGACACACTGCATTTATTCCTCAGTGTGTATCTTTAGAGACGAGATTTACCATCCTCATCTATAGCTAGGAAGCAAACCTTTCTAGTGGGAACTTGCCAAGGGGGACTGTTCTAAGGGGAGACACGGGACCTAAATTCTATGTGATTGAAGCTGGCCAGGCAGAGTGCCAGGGACCCCAGAAGAGCCCTAGCAAAGGTATGGACAATCCACAAGTTGGACTGCAACTTACCTCGTTCCACCTCACATTCGGGGGATGAGGCCCCACTGCATTCGCTTCGAGGGCCCAGTATTGGAAACATCATTCCAAATTCAGACAGGGACACGGGGCTGGGCAGATCCAAGCTGCCAGGCCTTGCCACTGCAGGGAACTGGTCAGGCATTTCAGATGGACTTGTTGGTCCTGAACTAAAGCTGGACACAGACTGGGTTTCTGAGTCATCTTCAGACACAAAGTTGCTGCAGCTGTCGTCTTCAAAGGCTTCTGAAGCCACTATGATGAGAGAGAACATCAGTCAATGGAGTCGGCTAACTAGTAGCCCAGTTCCTTAAAGGCTTGCAAACACGCTCTCTGCTGGCAGGCAGTCCCACAGCATGGAGTCCGTAGGATCTACAACCTTCCTGAGCCTTCTGACCAGCCTCCAGGGCATTTTGAAAGGCAGCAGCAGCTAGATCTCATGGAAAGTCAGTGTTCTAGAAATAACTTAATTCCTGCTCTATAATTCTATGCCAGCAGGTGCTACCTAGAAAGGGTAGCTAGGGACGGCTGGGGTGGAGTGCATGTCTAGCATATACAAAGGCCTGATTTCCATCCCAGCACTGAAGAAAAGGGAGGAAAGAAGAGAGGAAAAGAAATGGGAAGTTAAATGTAGACACTAGCCCCCTGTAATCTGCCCTACCCAGAGGTAATCGTACAGTGGAGACTGAAGTCTTCCTTCTGGCATAAGCAGCAATAGCCGCTGGAAAGGGCAGCCCTGCATGGAATGTCTGTAGTAACTTCTGATCTCCCTCAAAGCCTGCCTAGACCACTGTTTGCAGCAAAGAACAACACTCATTTACAATGCTCTGGTTGTGCCTAAGTTTGGGGACCAGAATAACCAAGGCTCAGAGACACGCCATTCTGGTTTTCAGAGCCTCTCAGCTTGCATTCTCACTTTTAAGGTCTTTCCTAGTTCCCTTTATGCCTATGGCATCTTTAAAAATGGCCGCCTAGCATTCCAGAGAAGTACTATATTACTTGAGACAGACTGAATTCAGATCCTAACTCCACTGTGTGGCCTTGTCAAGCTACTTGATTGCTCTATGTATGGGATTAATGAAGTGATATATAAAGTAACTCATTCAGCGTCATTGATTACATTATAGTTTCATTTTCCTTCAACCTGGCAATTCAGCATTTGTTGATGGTCTTCTAGAGTTGTTGAGCATGGGGCTAGCGATGGCTTAGTGGTTAAGAGTACCTGCTGCTCTTCCAGAGGACCCAGGTTTGATTCCCAGCACCCACAAGGAAGCTCACAACTGTCTAACTCCAGAGTATCTGATAACCTCTTCTAATACCAGGCAAGCATGTGGTATACATAGATAAATGTAGGAAAAACACTCATACACATACATTATTTTTAAAAATACTACTACTAATAAGGAAAAGAAAAGAATTGCTGAGGAAGGGGCCTAAGCAACAATGGATTATTCCACAGAAAAAGAAAAGCCATGAAGTGTCTGTTCAATGTCACAGTGTAGTTTTCTCGTCTAGCAGAAACTAGGTCAGTCCTTATCCTAGCTGCACAGGATATCCCATGTGCTCAGACCCCAGGGAGAGCTGCCAGCTGCCACCTCTAACAGCCCTCCTCACCTTCACAGCAGAGAAGACGCTATCCCCATCACATAGCTGAAGCAGCTAACACATCAAGGCCCTGCTAGCCCACACCATGCAGTGGTAAACTGGGGTCTGAGTCATCAACTCTGTGTCCTAAGTCCCTATTAAATCTGTCCTCAGAACTTCTTAGTCTTGAATGTTCTAATGTGAGAGGGGTGGAGGTGGAACATTTCCCAGACTTACTTGGCCATGGAACACTAACATTCAGTAGTAAACCAAGGAACAGAGTGTCCTACAAAACATGAGAAACCACCCAACAGCCTGCGGACCTGCCCAGTTCTCCAATTCTCCAGTGGCCGGCAAAGGAGAGGGGCTGTGGGACACGATGGCCCTGAAAGCAGGTCACATGTGCTGTCTGATCCCCGCTGGCCAGACTCACCAGAAATGGCATCAGGCTCTGGTTTGCTCCCAGGCAGGTTCTCCACTGATGTGATGCTGCCCTCTGCCCCCACACCACAGCCCCGAGGCCCCATGGCATTGGAACGCCGACGCTCATGTATCTCATCGGAGATCCTCTCCAGGCTCTTCAGAGCTGCCTTATACTCGCCTTTTGCCAGGGCCAGCTTGGCCTGAAGGTCATCCACTGTCTTCTTCAGTTGCTGAATGGGAAAATGGAGGACTTGATAAGCCAGAGTGGCTTTGCATATCCCTACTGATAGAGGGGCTACACATGATTACAACACAGAACTTCCCAAAACACCCAAGAAATGATGGACCTAAGGTGAATTCAATGACTTTCATCATGGCTATCCACTCCCTGTAAAGAAAATCACTATCATCTCAACATCAGTCCATATGACATGAGAATATGCAGAAATGGTTATTAATAGGATGTAGCCCTCAGGGAAGGAACAGTAGACAGGTAAGTCCTGTAGCCTCCTCACTTTGTCCCAGACAGAAGTTCTTGGTTCCGTATCTGAATCACCTGTAGGGCTACTTACAATTCAGGCTGCTGACCCAATCCCCAAAGGTTCTGACAGTAGGGTGGATAGCCTGGGAACTCTACTACCAAAACGTTTCCAGGACTGCCTGTCTTAGGAGCTCACACTGAGACCTAGTAAGTTAGTACAATTCAGTGAGCGAGTGAGTGAATGGCAAATAGCTCCAGACAACGCACAAACACCCAGCACCATTTGAGAACTAAGGTCTAGGAATATGTTTTTCCCTTTTCCTCTCACAGCACATGGGTCATCTGAAGGCCAGCTACCACACTAAAGTTGAGTTTTGAGTGTGGGTAGGGGTAGAGAACAATACAGTGATAGGGGAGAAGGGGCAAAAAAACAAAACCAGTGACAAATCCAAGGTCACACATACCTCAAGCTGCACATAATACTTTGCCTTGAGCTCAAAATAAGGCCTGCAGAAGACAGGAAGAAATTGTTAAGGATGTGATCTCACGGTGAACTCCTATAGATAAATTTACTACAGCTAGTCAGACCACTCAGGATTTAGGCCAGACACCAGCAGAGATACTGGTTCACCCAAGGTCTCAGTAGATACATAAGTTCAGTAGCCTCCTCACTCCCATCTCAAGATTTTGGAAACCTTACATCCTGCTTCATTTTACTCTAGGGAGACTGTTGGGGTCTACTGACCAATAGAGAAGACGGGACTGAAGAACAGGCTGCTAAAAACCACTTCCTCTGCTGAGACCAACTACGGAAGCAAACAATACCACTTCCTGTCAGCATGACTGACACTTCAACCTCAAATCGGTCCTCTTGTACAGCGACAAAGGCTAGGTATTGGTGAACCAATCAGGTTACAGGCAAGGAGAAAGACAAGCCCCCTGGACTCTGGGTCAGACAGAAGAGCTGGCACTTGGGAGCAGCCTTAGTGTCTCAGCTTTTCCTCCATCAAATTCCTATGTCCTGCATCTGTAATTGCTGATGACGACACGTTTCGAGACCCTTTGGTGCATAAGGAAAATCTGAAATGTGGGCTTATAAACCCCTTTTAGTGGCCAAATGGAGTGGATATCAGCCCAGCCAAGGTGTAGAGAAGTGTGGTAGGTAGGTGTAGGAGATGTCCAGGTGAACATGAATGTCAAAGATGGAGAACAAGGGAAAGAAGTGTGACCAAAGCAACAGGGGACAACAGAGTGACCCACCGGAGCCCCTGAAGCCATTCCACGGAACTGGTGTCCAGTCTCACAGGCAGACAGGAGTCGTCCAAAAGTGTCTGGAGAGGTTGCCAGAGTGTGACCACAGGGAGTTTGTTTCCTTACCAGGTCAGTGATGAGTGACAGGTCAAGTGTGAGAGAAGTATACAGAGGGCACCAGGGACTTGAAACTCCATGTATTCACACCAAACAAAGCAAGCAGCATGGAAAGCTGCTCCCTTGGCCATGGGGGAGGGGAGGGGCTTGTGTCCCCAGAAGGTCACATATATCTACTGAAGGGCAGTGGCAAACACTTAAACGTTTCCTATAGATGCATGTAAATGTGACGGTTGGAGGGAGCAGGCAGAAATCAGAGGGTGAGCCCAGGAGAAGACATGGGGTAGTACAGAGCAGACAGCAGCAACCTCTTCATTTAATAACGTCTTCCCTTACTCACCCGGCATGTTCTTTCACCTGAACACAGGTTCTCTGTCAAGCTTGTAGCTGCTCGGAACCAGGAGGAGCAGACATCAGTAGCTTAGCACGTAACTTTCTGTCCCAGGTCTGACTCACTGTTGGGTCCTTTCCCTTGGAGGCCCGGGGAATGAAACAGGGACCCTGTCTCCCCAACCATGTTTTCCCACTATGATTGTTACTTTGTCAGCATGTAGAGGGGTATCAGGAGAAGAGCTTGGGAAAAGCGCCACTAACCAATCTTGTAGCATTTCAGCAGCTCTTGATGCACAGAAACCATGAACGACGAGCAGAAGTCACCCCTACTGTGCTGATAGGCAAACTAAGGGTCAGGGTCTTGTCTAGTCCATACCATCAGCTACAAAGCCAAGCATGCAAGCCGAGTTCCCCAAAGCGTAGCCTATGGGCCAGATAATAGTTTGCTTTGGAAATTCCTTTTTCTGTGTCACCCATGTAAGTCATATCTGGAGCAATTTTCCTGTCCCCTGCCGGCCTCCCTGCCCATGGCAGTGGCAGCAGGGGGTGGTATGGGGGTGTCACATAGGACTCCTGGAGCACAGGGCACTAGGCAGGAAGCTCTAGGACCTACCTAGATAAAGAGCTTGCTCAGGCAATCCCTCAGTGAAAGTGGAGAAAAAGTGGAGCAGACGCAGAAGAGAGCCGCTCCCACCCAGGGACGGACGTGCCCAGACTTACTTGGACTTGTTGATGGCTCGCTTGAGTTTCTTCTCCAGCTGCCGCATGCGGCCCATGGCAGCATTGTACCTGGCTGCCGTCTCCTTGTGTACCAGTTCACTCCTTGTCTTGGTCTGCTCGGCCTCCATGACCTTCCAAACAACAACAGAGGCCCTCATGTCATTTAAAAAACAAAAAGTTCCTTGAGAAAATCTACAGATTAAGATTAAATGTCAATAAAACAGGATCTGCTCTCTTCCTGATAGAGTTTGAAAAAGCTGAGCCGGTGGTGGTGGTGGTGGTGCACGCCTTTAATCCCAGCACTCTGGAGGCAGAGCCAGGTGGATCTCTGTGAGTTCGAGATCAGCCTGGGCTACAAGAGTGAGTTCCAGGAAAGGCGCAAAGCTACACAGAGAAACCCTGTCTCAAAAAACCAAAAAAAGAAAGAAAGAAAAGAAAAAGAAAAAGTCTGTCAGATAACATACCCAAGTTGGCTATGACAGTGACTGAAAAAGAAAAATCAAAAAGTAAAAATCTTGAGAAATTTGTGAAGTACTCAGCTTCAACCCATATCTACTTCCTTCTGCGCAGGCCTGCAGAACTGGGGAGAACCCGGGGGCCAGTCTGATGGACAGGCAAATGGCCGAACTGCACCAGTGGGGGCTTCATAGCTACCTAACTAGAAGAACATTAAAACGAAAACCACCAAAACTAGGCACGACAGCAGAAAAGTCAGCAGGGCAGCCTTTCCCCAACGGTCCTGAAGTTGTGGCACAGAAGAGCCCAGAGTGCATTCCAGCAGTTAAAGTTAAAACAAAGTTGTTCATATTAGAGTTTGAGGTTTGCAAAAAGCCACCATCAAGAGAAAGGCAAAGTTCTGGTGGAAACATGGTGCCAGGCCTGTTGATAAACCAACAGCAAGAGTCCTGGGTGCCCTGAACCAGGACCAGAGCAAGGCCTGATCTTCAGAACGGCAAGGACAGCTGCGTTCCCTGTCTTCTAGGTACAGCCACACTATACTGTACAACTAGAGAAATGGCGACGAGGTTGGGCAAGGTCACGGGGTCAGTCCCTGTTAACCCAAGTGGGGTGAGGGAGTGGGGCGGGGTCCTTGGCTTCTCTCCTAGACCCCAGCAGGGTCACTGGTGTCTGTAACGTGAGGGGAAAGAAGCACACAGAAAGGTTACTGGAATTCTCTGACATCCAGTCAGCCCTGGTTCAGTAGAGAGCCCAGGATGGACAAGATCAAGCAAAGAAACTGAGGTCTGGCTGGCATCGTGAGTGCCCAGGAGAAGTCCCTGGTGAAGGTGCAGCCTCAGTTGTAGTGGAGACCCCAGGATATTGGAGATGCTAGGACTATGGAGCAACCACCAAGGAAGTATCAGGTGTCGAGTGGAGGCAGCCCGAGTCTGAAACAAGCTGTGCACATGCTGTGGGTGGCAAAGCTGGGGGGGGGAGGGCTGCCCAAGCCCTTTGGATCCGGATCATGAGTGAGTTCCAGACACTGGACACTGAGCTATAGAATTTGATTTATACTGCTGGATGTTGAGTTTTTCTTTGACATGTTTTTATATTCCCTTTTGAAGAAAGTATTTAACTTTTTGTTTGTTTGTTTGTTTGTTTTTAATTTTACAGGGATCCACAGTTAAGAGACTTCGGATATGTTGAAAGAAAAAAATTAGACTTTCATGTGCTGAATTTTTGACAATGGGACTTTTAAAATGTTTTTTTAGATGTATTTATTTTTATTTTATGTATGTATGTGTTTTACATGCATGTATGTCTGTGCACTACATGAGTGCCTGTTGCCTGTGGAAGCCAGAGGAGGGGGTCAGATCGCCTGAACTGGAGTTACAGATGGTTGTGGGCCTCCATATGAGTACTGGGAATTGAACCCGGGTCCTCTAGAAGAGAAGCCAGTTCTCTTTAACTGCTGAGTGTCTCTCCAGCCCACCAAGGAACTTTGAAATGTTTGGCTGCATTTTATTGTTTTTCTTTCCTTTTTGTTATTGAGACAAGGTCTTACTGTGTAACTCTGGCTGGCCTGGAACTCAGAGATCCACCTGTCTGAGCCTCCTGACTGCTGGGATTAAAGGTATGCACATGTCTGGCTCTGGCCTGTATTTTACACTGTGATATTAGTAAGAGGTCCTGGGAACACGGTTAATAGTGATGTGTCCATGTGTCAAGCTGACAAGGGACAGTGGGGCTGGTTAATTTTTGTCAGCTTGACTTAAGATGGAGTCATGGGAAGGAGTGACTCCCTCGGATTGCCCTGTAAGACTAAGCTGTGGGTCATTTTTTTTTTTTTTGATTAATGACTAAACTCGATTACTTGAATCCAAATATTCAGAACTAGCATAACATAGTAATTTCCTCCTTTATCAGGTCAAACCACTACCATGATAATATTTTTTGCTTGTATAATAATTATGCTTTTACCTTATTATAATGTGTTTTATAAATGTATAATAATTTTTAAGGAAAAGGAGAGAAGAGAGTCAGGCTGGAGCAAGGCAACATGCTAGCTAGAGAGCTAGAAGAATCCTTCCCTTGTTTATTTCTAACACAAATATTTCACAATGAAACAAAATAAGTATCTAATGCTTGACACATGGGGAAACAGCAGTAGCTCCTCAGTCTATTCTTGAATCTTAAGCTTTAAATGAATTATTATTATTATTGTTGTTGTTGTTATTTTGGTTTTTCGAGGCAGGGTTTCTCTGTGTAACACCTCTGGCTATTCTGGAACTCACTTTGTAAACCGGGCTGGCCTAGAACTCACAGAGATCCTGTCTGCCTCTGCCTCCTAAGTGCTGGGATTAAAGGCTATGCACCACCACCACCACCACCACCACCACCACCACCACCACCACCACCACCACCACCACCACCACCGCTGGGCTCTTAATGAATTATTGTCCTAACTTTTATGAAACCTGAAAACCCTATGCTTCTCAGACAATATATCAGAGGTGATTTGTTCTTTTATGGGGAGCTCTGCACAGAACCGAATAGATGCACTTGAAGTGGACTCAACTGAAAAGATGCAGTTTCCAGCTGCTGAACAGAAAGTGTCCCAGGCGAAGCAGGGCCCTCCCCAGCTGTACAGAGACCCTCATTCCACACCAGCTCCCAGGCTGCAAACAAGCAAAGGCTTTCTAAACGTCAGCACCCAGAACGCCCCAAGCACTTTGCTATACTGCCAGCCATGCCTTCAGAGGCGACACACATCAGGATTTCTGCCTCACCCTATCAGGACACATCACCATACTTCGTCTGCATCCCGCCTCTCCATCTACACAACCTCCAGCTCTGGAAAGAGACCCCCACCACTACACACACAGCTTCCTGCCCAGTGGCCACCAAGCAAGTCACCTTGGCACACTGCTTAGGAAACCAAGGAGACTCCTCCATCAGCAGCCTAGGATCAGGCATAAGCTGTGTGCAGTGATGGGGGAGGGGAAGCTAGACATGAAGGGGAGGCGAAGTTGGAGCCCAGGGACAAAAACCTCCCCCCCGGAAAGGTGGATCAGCATGAGGCAAGAGAGATGGAGCCACCCCTGGCTCCCGGAAGCTCCTGTTGGTCGGGTATTTGTCCAGACTCAGGTTCCCTATCCCCATATCTCTACAAGGTGCTCTTCTGTTTTACTGCCACACTGCTACACCATTTACACTGATAAGCACCTCCTGTGGCAAAGAACAAGAGGCCAAACCTGGCGTTGACAGCCTAGCAGCTCCTGCTGCAATAGGTATCATTCAAAGCAGTGTGGGATCCAGGCAGCTGGGGTAGCTCTGGATGCTCAGAGGCGCTGTGGTAGCAAAGGCAGCATGTGGAGAGGGGTCCTGAGTACATGGCATTTGGGTAGTAGGTGGGAGTAAGCATGTCACTGGTTTTTGTTTCATTATTTGAGATGCTGTATTCCCTGTGAATTCCCATACCATCTGACACATGGTCCGTGGATCCCCTTGTACCACCATGCCCAGCTTGGAGGAAACACTTCTAACAGGCTGCAGCTCCCCTCTGCATCTTGCCACAGGTCCCTATGTCCCATTTGCCACAGCCATGGCATGACCACACAGGACACACAAAGATGGGCAGTGGTGCTCTGCTTTCCACATCCTTCTCGGAGCTGGAAGGCAACAGGTGAACGTAGCTCAAAGAGACAGCTGTCTAAGATGGAAGAGGTCTTCTCCTCCATTCCGGGGGTTTAGAATATTCCCCCAACTTGGGCCTTGCCCTGGGGCCCCATCCACAGCCTCTCTCTCTAACCTGAAACATCCAGGCGGAAAGGGGCTTTCCCATCTCCTCACAGCCTCACGGAACAACTCCAGACTGCACCTCTACGCCAAGGAGGGGACATAAGGTGCCCTCCTCCCCCTTCAGACGGTTTTCCAGGCAGCGGCTCCTCTTCCATCCTGGAGGCCTGGAGGAGAGGCTGACCATGCCTTGTCCTTTCCTCTCTAGGAACCCCTGCTGCCCGCTCATCAGCAAGGACTGCCTTCCTCTGTCCACGCCACATTTCCCTCTTCCTCCATCTGGTCCCTTGTAGCAGACACGAGGAAAGCCAATTCCTCCCTCTCAGGCTGCCAGCGCTCCTGTCTGGAGAACTGAAAGCCATTGCCTTCCCCCAAAGGCTGCTTCAAGATCAAAGAAGCCAAGGTCTGGAGATGCCTCTGCCACCAAACCTCCCTCCGGTGCTGAGGAATGGCAGACACGAGCCCCATGCCCCAAGGGAGGCTGCTCAGCTGCAGGCTTGGCAGTGTTACTGGAACCATGTGCTGTTTGTCAGCACCAAGTCGAGAACTGTCCCCATGGCCTGTCTATGGTGTTACATGTGACCACCAGAGAATACTGGGGTTCCAGACATCTAGGGTGTTACAGCTTCAGTATGGCCATCTAATGTTACCACTAGACTGAGGACTGAGAGGAGGCAGATGGCCTCAAGTGAGGACCATGTGGAGATACGGAGGAGAGGGTTATAAGAAGCTCCATTCCCCTAATGAAACAGGCGTCCTGGCATCTCCAGAAGGCAGTCAGTCCCTACATGACCTTCTGCTGAGGCATCCCAGCATGCTAGCCCCCAGGAGGCCTGGGAAACGGTCCCCAGGAGTCCCATTGGGAGAAATGCTCGATTCAGACAGAGGGTCACAGTCACTCATGTTATTTCAGAGCCAAACATGAGCATCTGGACTGCAGGAAGGATTGTGTCTATACTACCCTGCAGGCTGAAGCTCTGAGTAGTGTATAATGAGGTAGGGAAAGGTCATGGTCTCAAGAGCATTTTTATGTGGTTCCCCCCCCCCCCATTGCCAGGGATGGATCTGGCTTCTTATAGGCTAAGGGCAGGCACCTGTTCTGTTACCGAGCTACCTGCTCCGAGGGGAGGATCATTTCTCACCAGTTCAAGGAGAATCATCCCAAGGCTATGCAACCATGACGAAACCAAAGTAAAGGAAACACTGTCCACGATGGGGAAGGCCTGGCCTGTGAGCCAGAACTCCACGTTGACTCACACAGGGTGCTGCTCCCTACCACATGAACCAGTTGCCTGGGTCCTTTGTTTTAGTGGCCAGAGGGTCCATGGGCCACTGTGAAGCCCCAACTGACCTGAGGAGGTCTGAAGCGACCTTGTAAAGCTCCACAGTCTGTTTGCTGCAGACCCCAGAACACTGTTTCCAAAGACTAAGCATGTGGTGCCTTGTGGACAGTGTGAGGGTCTCGGGAGAAGGCCTCTCTGTGGGCATTTACCCACCACCGTTAACCCCATGACTAAATCGTGGACTTTCTTATTTAATAAGAACAGATCCAGTGGTTTCTTTCTCATTTTTTAAAAAGACAGGGTTCCTTACGTAGCCCAGGTTAGCCTTGGTCCTGCTGTCTCAGTCTCCTGTCTGGCATTATAGGCATATACCACCATAAGCAGGCCCATTTGGGATTTCTGAAATGGCCTCTTACAGGCTGCTACAGATCTACAGCTTTGGAGGGCAAGAGGACCAAAAGGAAAGGCGGGCCTGCGGCTTCGTTAGCTGCTTCATCTCCTCTACCAGGGCTCTGCACATCTTCCAACCTCCCCTTCAGGTTTCTCTACAGCTGACCCGGTAAGAATTTTCTCAGCCTCGCTGGGTCTATAAGCACTATGGCCACTAGGGGGCAGGAAGCTCAAAGCGGCCAGCCACAGGCTCTGTCTCCAGCCCCAGGCAGAGTTGGTGGAAAGTCAAGTCCAATCTGCCTCCTGAAGTCATTTGTACGTCAGGCTTTTCTATTTAAAGATACTCAGACCATCTTTAATCATCAGATTCCCCAGGACCTGAGCAACTGTGGCAGGGGAGACTGACGGGAGCAGTCACTGGCACTGACTCCTGGACCTTTTTTCTAGCCCCACAGACAACCTTCCTGTCCCTTACTGAAACCAAAGCTACAGTCTGCGCCCAGGGACCGCAGCTCGTCTGCCTGCCCTACAGCAAACCTTTGGCCTCGTGGGGGACAAGCTGGTGCCAAGGAGACCAAGAATCAGAAGAACTAGAGCTGCACCTGGTAGAGGGACGCAGTATCCAGGAATATTCGGTGACCTCAGCAAACCCGAGTCTACAGAGTTAAGCACGTGGCCCTACTTGCTAGGGTAGGAATGTCCCCAATGTGGTGATATCGTGGGCCTTCAGGGAGTGGTGCTATAGGACCAGTGCCCAAGGACTGGGGATGTAGTTCAGTGTTAGACTGCTTGCCTAGCACAAGAAGAGAATGCTCATTTGCCACTTTAAGAGGAGATGGCCCTCTGAGAAGCAGAAACAGTCGGACACCACATATGTCAGCCTTGATTCTGGACTTCCTGGCTTCCAGAACTGTGAGAAATATATCTCTATGTAGGAGCCAGTCAGTTTATGGAATTTCGTTTAGTAGCCTACCTAGACCAAGACAATTATCACTTCCAATTCTGAGCAAGGTAGCCAGAGAGGAAGTCCTGGGAGCAGGTAGAGAGTCAAATAATGCTGACATAAATCACACATGACAGTCACTCCCAGCCACTGCCTACTACATACTTACTACTCCCCAGACCCCAGCGTCACCCGGAAGGCCCTGCCTGAGTGAGTACCCACTTGTTTCTGGACTAGGCACTTCACCCACCAACATACACACCCATGGGCAGGTTGAGACTGTTAATGGGACTTCTACCAGGGACCTGTGGTCCTTCTGGTGTCCTGGGAGCCAACCTTGGAGAGCATACTGGCCCCTCTGGGAAATCTGATTCCACTGCCAAGACATTCAGGGACCATGTGAACCAGACAAGTTTCAGGCAACACAGAGAAAGATTAGCCTCATCTGTCACTGGGGGGACTGTCATGCCTGAGTATGGCTTAAAGCCAGTGCCCCGAAAAGGCTACACAAAGCAGACAGCCCATGACCTTTACAGGAGCGTTTCATGCTACCCAGGAACCTATCTCTACTCCTGTGGGGACCCAAAGAACACACAGCATCCAGGCCCAGGCGCCCATGGCCAGCGTACACACGTCACTCCTACCCTCTGAGTGGCGTGATTCAGCATCTCCTGCCAAGCGGAGTCAAACTGTCGTTTGTCATCCTCCAGCAGCCGCTGCTCAGCCAGGGAGATGGTCTCCTTGGCAGCACGGAGCACCTCGGTGGCCCTCTGGAAGTCCTGTGTGGCCTTCTGAGCTTCCAGCTGAGCCTGTTGAGAGAGAAGGTCTTGTGAGGCAAAGGCCAAGAGTCCGTGGGGCCCATCACCACCACCCCGGAGAATGGGACGGGCTAACAGGTGGCTGATGGCTGAGTGGAACCCAGATAGGTCAGCGGACAGTCTTCACAGTCTGGAGCTCAACAGATGAGTAACCGCATAGATCTTGCATCTGTGATGGTAATGGCTAAGGCAGTTGTGGCCATTCTCCAAAGCCCTGGCTCAGGAACGAAGCCCAGGAAGGCGTAGCAGTCCTGGGCCCTTTCCCTGTACATCAGAACCGAAAGTGCCCCCAGAGACCATAGTTGTGGGGCTTTGTGCTACAGATGAGGCACAGTAGCTGAAAACAGCCTCACCCCTGAGATTCACGCACCACCATGCCCGGCTTTCTTATGTGGGTCCTGGGGATTGAGAACTCAGGCCCTGCTGCTTGCACAGTACAGAAGCAAGAGGCCTAGGGGTTCAGATCCCCGAAAGTCACATAAATCCCGGGGAGGTATGGCACCTGCCACAGCTCGGAAAATGAAGATGGGGTCCTTGAAGCATGCTGGTTAGAGACCTGCTATACCTCAGAGCTCTGGGTTTGACTGAGACCCTGCCTCAAAAAATAAGGTGGACAACTGATTGAGGAGGATTCCTGATACCCACCACACACATGCACATGTACCCACACATTCATGAGCACGTGCTCATGTGTGTGCCACACATGTGGCTATGCAAACACACATGTATGCTCACCACACACATACACGTGAAAAGAAAAAACACTGCATTTCAAAGACTGAACAAAAAAATGTTAATTATCCCATTAGTCATTTTTCCGATCAATGATGAGATAATATTCGAGATATGCTAGATTAAATCAAGTATACTGAAATTAATTTTACTTCAGTGATTACAGAAACTATAAACTTGCATAAGTGACTCTGCACTGCTGTGTGTGGACAATGATGCTCCTCCCTCAAGAGTGGGCCACAAAGTGATGTGTCTGCTGACTACTGCATCAGAAACAGGGCTGGGCCAGCGGTGGTGGCGCACGCCTTTAATCCCAGCACCCAGGAGGCAGAGGCAGGTGGATCTCTGTGAGTTCAAGGCCAGCCTGGGCTACAGAGTGAGTTCCAGGAAAGGCTCAAAGCTACACAGAGAAACCCTGTCTCAAAAAAAAAAAAAAAAAAAAAAAAAAAAAAAAAGAAAGAAAGAAAGACACAGGGCTGGGGAGATGACTTGCTGGGTAAAGTGCTTGCTGTGCCAAGTATAAGAACCTAAGTTCAGGTCCCCAGATCCCACATAAAGCCAGATCTGGTAGCACACATCTGTAACACCGGCACTCCATGGCGAGATGGGAGATGGAGGAGACAGGAGACTCCCCAGAAGCTCACAGGCCAGTGGTTAGCCTGGTGAATGCAGGAGCGAAAACGAGACCCTGTTTCAAACAAGGTGGAAGGTGAGAGCTGACACCCGAGGCCATTCTCTGACCTCCATACTCACACTGTAGCACATGCTCCCCTAACAAAGGAAGCAGCATCACACTACAGCCCCCACTCTCCTTGGGCTCACCTCCAATTTCCCACCAGAGCAGGGGCAGGCCACACTCCATGTTAATCTGCCACAGCATCACTTCCCCTGGGCCAATTACAGAAACCCTGATGGGACACTAACAGGACAGCCCCAGGGACTTAGGAGGGGAACAACAGGGCCCCACCCTTCCCCAGAGAAAGTCTCATGTGACTTAGAGGAAATCTTCATAGAGACTGAAGGTACTTTGCAAAGAAAATTAAGGGGAAAAGGAACAAAGCAGCTGAGAGCCCAGAGCACAGCAGCCCCGGGGGAGAAACAGCTCAGTGACCCATGGTAACCCATGATGGGCATCCCCTGGTCTGGCCTGTGCACCCACAGTCCCAGCCCTCCAGACCAGAGATCCACCCAGGAGACCGAGACCCACCTGCGGCTGAAGCACACATATCTGTGTTTCCAGGCTGTGCATGAGGGCAGGAGAAGGGGCCTTGCCTCCCATAGGAGGAAGGATTCATAAAGAAGGACAGTCCTGGAGAGAGGCCTGAAGGGCAGGGAGGGGCTGCAGCTCAGAGGATGGAGACCAGGGGAGTACTTGAGGTTAGAGAAAGCATCTGAAGTTGTATCACAAGACAGGGCTGTAGGGGGGTGGGTTGTTTGTTTGTTTGTTTCAAGACAGGGTTTCTTTATATAACAGACCTGACTGTCCTCTGTAGACCAGACTGGCCTCGAACTCATGGAAATCCACCTGTCACTGCCTCACAAATTCTGGGATTAAAGGTGTGTGCCACCACCACCTGCAAAGAGTACTTTTAAAAGCCAGCCTGGGCTATACGACAAGATCCTGTCTCAAAAAGATTTAATTAATTTATAATAATAATAATAATAATAATAATAATAATAGAAGCCTGAATGAATGTCCACTTACCAGCCAACTACATCCACTGAGGTAGCCTTAGCCACATAGGGATAGAGATGCCCACCCTCTCTAGAACTAACCAGTCACTGAAAAGTAACTGGATACCAGACATGACTCACCCTCCCCAAGCTGAGCATCCTCCTACCCTTTCTTCCTTCTCCCAGAGGACAGCCCTGGGGCCTCCATCTTTCCAGACAGGTTCAAGAAGGGTGAATCTGGACAGGTTCAGGAAAGGGTGAATTGTGACCCATCCTGTTCTGGTGGAAGCTCCACCTCAGCCCCTGGCACCCATACACCCAAAGAGTCTGGAAGGTTCTGGTGGAAAGTCCACCTCAACTCCCCTTCCCCATCTCTCTCCTCAAACGCAGCCCTGCCTCAAGCCTGCCAAACACCACTCCTCCCCGAGAGATGCTCAAGACCACTCCCACAGAGTACTTAAACTGCGCCCCAGAAAACAGACACATGGTTTTTCGGTCTTTCTTCCCTGTCCCCTCCCTGGGGGCTGGAAAATCCTTAGGGACCGTTTTCCCCATTAAACCTGGGCTTTTTCTTATTCAGTTTGATTTGGTCTGATTTGGATTGCTGCATCCGAGAGGCTTATTTGGTTGCAGAAACTTTTCCTATCCCTCCAGACTCCATCTACCCACAGCTTTACAATAGTGAAAACACAGGGATTCATCCCTTGGACCCCGAATGTTTCCTAAAATGGGATCTCTCTGCCCCCTCTTCCATTTGTTTATTTACTTATTTAATTTTTTTTTTTTTTTGGTTTTTCGAGACAGGGTTTCTCTGTGTAGCTTTGCGCCTTTCCTGGAACTCACTTGGTAGATCAGGCTGGCCTCGAACTCACAGAGATCCGCCTGGCTCTGCCTCCCGAGTGCTGGGATTAAAGGCGTGCGCCACCACCGCCCGGCAACTTATTTAATTTTTGAGATATCTTCCTTTGAGGCTTTGAGGTTGTGCTCAAACTCAAGGCAATTCTCCTGCCTCACCTTCCTAAAGTCTGGGATTACAAATGAGTCAAATCACAATTTTTTAAAGGCCTCTATGTAGACCATGTCAGCCTTGCACTTTCTATGTAGACCAGGCCAGCCTTGAACTTGCCACAATCCTCCTGTCTCTGCCTCCCAACTACACCAGCCTTTGTGTGTTTTGTTTGTTTGTTTGTGGTATGTGTGTGTGGTATGTGCACATGTGTTTGTTCATTTGCTACAAGTGTTTTGGGTTTTTTGTTTGTTTTGTTTTGTTTTTAGCTGCCCAGTATAGGTGCTGAGAATTGAACCCAGGTCTTCAAGAGTGGTATATGCTCTTAACCACTGAGCCATCTCTCCAGACCTGCGTGTGGAAGCCTGGGGTTGACAATAGGTGTCTTCTTCGATGGCTCTCTATCTTATATAGTGAGGCAGGATCTCTCAGTTGAGCCCAGAGCTCATCAATTCAGCTAGTTTAGCTACTTAGTTTCTTCCAGGATTCTCTGTTCCTCTCCAGGAACTGGCATTACAGGTGGGCTGTCACGCCTACCCAACGTTTATATGGGTGCCAGGGGTCCCAACTGCATTCCTCACACTTGAATAGCAAGTACTTTACTCCTTGAGCCAACTCCCTATCCCCATGTTCATTCATTCATTCATTCATTCTTTCTTTCTTTCATTTAATTTTGAGACAACGACTCACATGGCCCAGACCAGCTTCAAACTTAAATTTAATGTGTAACTAAGAATGAGCTTGAGGGCTGGAGAGGACTCAGTGGTTAAGTGCACTTACTGCTCTAGTAGACTACGGGAGTTCAGCTGCCAGCACTCACGTCAAGTGCCTGACAGATTTACAGTCACCCGAGACTCCAGCTCCAGGGGACCCAGCACCCTCTTACACACACAAATAAAAAGGCAAAAATAAAATCTTAGGAAAAGAATGAGCGTGAACTCCTGCAGTGAGCACACTGTGCGAGCCCAGGAAAGACTCCTCACCAGACACTGACTCTGCGGGAACTCTGGGGGACTTCCAGCCTCCAGAACATGCCTGATGTTTATGTCTCCAGTCTAGGCATTTTCTTACAGCAATGTCAAGAAGTCAGGTACGGCAGAAGGAACACCTAGAAGGTGGAAAGAGCTCTGGAAACAGATGTGGGGACTTCTGAGGTGCACACTAGACATGAACTGAGAGAGGAGAAGAGTGTGAAGGAAGAGGTCAGTTATTAAAGTCTCCAGGCAGAGATTTCTCCGGTGTTGGACCTGAGGCCATGCCATTAGAATCATCCAAGAGCAATTTGAAATTTAACTTGATAGAGTATTCCAGTTACATCACAAGACGCAGAACCCTGAACAGCAGAAGCCAATTTAGCAATCCCAGAGAAAGCTGATTATCTAGTTAGTTCATTCATTCATTTATTCATCTATCCTGTGGGTGGAACCCAGGAGCTCACACATGCCAGGCAAATGCTCTCCTGCTGAGCTACCCACTCAGCTTCATAATTTTCACCATCATATGAAAGATGACACCTAGAGATCCTGGACACAACTATTAAAATTCAGCCTTTGAAGCACAACAAAGCCCCAGACCCTGT